CATTCATTTCTTACTCTCTTTTATCTCATTTCCTTCTCAAATTCCACCATGCCTTGTTCTTCATGTCCTTTCCCATTTCATCAAACACTATTTCTTTTTCTTCACTCTCTCAAATGAACCACCGCCACCACTACCATAACAACCACCACCATGAACCACCACACAACAACACTCCTCCTCCTCCTCCTTCTACCATCTCTTGTCCTCACAATCACCCACCCAAACGACCTTAAAATCCTCAACCAATTTAGAAACAACCTTAACAACCCCGAACTCCTACAATGGCCAAAACAATCACCCGACAACGACCCATGTTCCACCCCATCATGGAAATTCATCTTCTGCCAAAACGGCAGAGTCACACAGATTCAAACCAAAAACCTTAACCTCTCCGGCACCTTACCTCAAAACCTCTACGAACTCGCACAACTCTCCAACCTAGGTCTCCAAAACAACAACCTCCACGGTCCCTTACCGTCGATAAAAGGCTTAGCAAATCTCAAATACGCTTTCTTCGACAACAACCAGTTCGATTCCATCCCAAACGATTTCTTCCAAGGCTTATCAAGCTTAGAGACTCTCGCATTGGATAACAATAATTTCAATGTTTCCACAAATGGTTGGAATTTTCCTTCTTCTCTACAGGATTCACCTCAGTTAACAACTCTTTCTTGTATGAGCTGTAATTTGGTTGGTTCTTTACCGGATTTTCTTGGAAAAATGAACTCTTTATCGTTTTTGAAACTTTCTGGTAACAGTTTAAAGGGTGAGATTCCGTTGAGTCTTAATGGGTCTGGTTTGCAGACTCTTTGGTTGAATAACCAGAAGGGTGAGGGTGGGGCACTTTCTGGGAGTATTGATGTTGTTGCTACTATGGTTTCTTTGACTAGTTTATGGCTTCATGGGAATCGGTTCACCGGTTCGATTCCGGAGAATATTGGAGACTTGGTTTCTCTTAAGGAGCTTGATCTTAATGGGAATGATCTTGTTGGGGTTGTTCCTAGTTCTTTAGGGGATATGGAATTGGATAGTCTTGATTTGAATAATAACAGGTTTATGGGTCCAATTCCAAAGTTTAAAGCTTTGAAAGTTAGTTATAGTAACAATGATTTTTGTTTGAATGAAACTGGTGTTGTTTGTTCTTTTGAGGTTATGGCTCTCTTAGGGTTTTTGGGTGGGGTGAATTATCCTTCAAATTTAGTTGATTCATGGATTGGGAATAGTCCTTGTGAAGGACCTTGGTTGGGGATAAAATGCAATGCTGATGGCAAAGTTTCGATGATTAATTTGCCGCGGTTTAATCTTAGTGGTAGTTTGAGTCCTTCTGTTGCGAATTTAGGTTCTTTGGTTGAAATCAGATTGGGGGGAAATCATATTAATGGTGTAGTGCCTAGTAATTGGACTAGTTTGATGAATCTGAAATTGTTGGATCTGAGTGATAATGATATTTCTCCTCCTTTGCCGGTTTTTAGTAATGGATTGAAGCTTATGGTTGATGGGAATTCTTTGTTGAATGGTGGTGGGCCAGAAGGGCCTTCTTCAGGGAAAAACAGTCCGTCGGGTGGATCGGGGAGTACCGGTGAAGATACGAAGGGAGAGTCGAATTCAAGTTCGGGTGATTCGGTTGAAACGAAGAAATCCAAAAGGAAAAGCTTGGTTTTGATTGTAGCTCCCATTGCTGGTGTAGCGGCTGCTGCTTTTCTATTGATTCCACTTTATGCGTATTGTTTTAGGAGGACAAAGGATGGATTTCAGGCTCCAAGTTCACTCGTGGTTCACCCGAGAGATCCATCTGATTCGGACAGTGCTGTAAAGATAGCCGTTATTAGTAATACCAACGGAAGTGTTTCCACTTTGACAGGAAGCGGGACTGGGAGTAGAAACAGCAGCGCGTTTGGAGAGTCTCATGTCATTGAAGCTGGAAATCTTGTGATATCAGTTCAAGTTCTAAGAAACGTGACGAAGAATTTTGCCCCCGAGAATGAGCTCGGCCGTGGTGGATTCGGAGTTGTTTATAAGGGAGAGTTGGACGACGGGACTAAGATTGCAGTAAAAAGAATGGAAGCAGGTGTTATAACCAATAAAGCCTTGGATGAATTTCAGGCTGAAATTGCAGTTCTGTCGAAAGTTCGACATCGACATCTAGTAGCCCTTATAGGTTATTCCATCGAAGGTAACGAGAGGATTCTGGTGTATGAGTATATGCCACAAGGTGCTCTCAGTCAGCATCTTTTCCATTGGAAAAGCCTCGGACTCGAGCCTCTCTCGTGGAAGAGGAGGCTCAACATTGCCTTGGATGTTGCTAGAGGAATGGAGTATCTTCATACTCTGGCTCAACAGAGCTTCATTCATAGGGATCTTAAGTCCTCAAATATTTTGCTTGCTGATGATTTTCGAGCTAAAGTCTCGGATTTTGGATTGGTAAAACTTGCTCCTAATGGCGAAAAATCTGTAGTGACCAAACTTGCTGGGACCTTTGGATACTTGGCTCCTGAATATGCAGGTGATAATTTTTTTCAGGTTTTTTACACCTTTCAAGAAAACCGATAAATTTTATTACTAATCCTCAGTTTTTTTTTTGTTAAATATATTCAGTGACAGGAAAAATCACAACCAAAGTAGATGTTTTCAGTTTCGGCGTTGTGTTAATGGAGCTGTTGTCTGGATTGATGGCACTTGACGAGGATAGACCTGAGGAAAGCCAATACTTAGCAGCATGGTTCTGGAATATAAAATCAGATAAGAAGAAACTAATGGCTGCTATTGACCCAACTCTCGACATAAACGAAGAAACATTCGAGAGTGTCTCAATTATTGCGGAGCTAGCCGGACACTGCACAGCTAGAGAACCAAACCAAAGGCCAGAAATGGGCCATGCTGTCAACGTCCTTGCACCACTCGTTGAAAAATGGAAACCGTTTGACGACGACCCGGATGAGTATTCAGGTATCGATTATAGTCTTCCACTTAATCAAATGGTGAAGGGTTGGCAGGAGGCGGAAGGTAAGGACACAAGTTATATGGACTTAGAAGACAGTAAGAGTAGTATCCCCGCGAGACCTACTGGATTTGCAGATTCTTTTACTTCGGCCGATGGCCGGTGAAACAAAATGGTTTGCTTTATTGCTTTGTTGAATGTGGTTATTTTATTTATTATTAGTTGTAGATAGCATGCTATGCTCTTTCTGTCTAAAAAAATGCTAATGCAAGATGTGAGAATGCTTGTAATTTCTACTATGTTTACATTGAAGTGTTAATGATTGTAGATAGTGGAGAAACAATCAAAGAGAATGCTTGTAATTTGTTCATTCATTTATGCCTCAAAGTTCATTATCATAAGTTGTTTGGTTATTGATGATTATTGTGTTTTGTTGGTGAATGCACAACATACTGCATTGAAAATGTCATTTCTGCATTTATAAGGTTCATGAAAATGTTGTTTTGTTGGTGAATGAACTAGGTCCCCAAGTATACAGTTACAATGTCACATTTGTTATCTGGAAAATAAGAGTTATAAACAAAAAATATATTTGTTATATATTTTTATCATAGATTATAGAATTGGGTCCAAATCGGTGAGTATGGAAAAGTATTTGATAGAAAAGACCAATCCTTAAAATAAAATATAAAAAAAATTGAAGGATCATGCCTTAGCTGTTGGTGGTCCACATTCAATGGTTTTGCAAAGAAAAAAAAGTCAAAGTATCTTGAATATAAAATACTCATTATCGTCACAATTTCAGTATCAAACGCTAGTAAACTTTTGAAAGACAATAACACATTGTTTATTGAAATTATTAGAACGAGTTCAGCACTATCGATCGTGTTTACCAGTAATAACACAATTTTGGTCTCGGGTCACAATCAGAATCTATAGCTGTTTTTATAATGAACATTAAATTTGATAAAATCTTATAGTAATAAACTTTATAGACTATACTACTTTTTTCTAACAAAATTTTCTGCTGACGTGTTTCACACATTATGTCGACAGCGATATTGATTGATTGTCCAATAAGTGATTAGTGGAGCCTACATCTGTGGTACTAATTTGGATTACTGATTAATGTCCACATGGCATAAATGAAGGTGTCAAATCAAGATGATTATTATTTATTTTCTGCCTATCACTTGGCACTATAACATAACTTCCCTCGCAAACATAAACAGGTGCGACGATGTGATGTGGCACAGTACTTGTTCGTTTTCATTAGGAAATCAAATTGACACCTATTGAATGAATAATCCAAATGATAATTATGAAACTCAATTTGTGCATTGATCCATATTTGAATTTTTCATTTCCACCTCATCATATAACTACTCGATCAATAACCTTCTTTATAGTAACCCCGCTTGTTGACAGCTGGCTTATCAACCCGTGCTTATGCTTGTCGGAAAATTCTTGTGCGTATTCGTGATGTGTTAGACCAACTAATTCAATTATTAATCAGTAGTTAATTAATTTTAAGGATTAAGAGATTGATCAAGATTCAAAGTCGCTACTTATTAGATTGAGAATAAAATAATTTCTCATTATTCTATAGAAGTTACCAGCTGTTTCCCATGAATTCCAGTAAAGATAATTAGTGGCGTAACACTACTGAAAACTTGTGAACAAGTCAATATGGACAAAAAATTCAAAGAAGCACGTGATTAAAGGTCATTAATCACTTTTTATTCGTTTAAACATGACAAAACTAGTCGTCAGCATTCAAACAGAAAGTTTAAGTTAGGATTTTAGCTTGGACTACAAGTTCTTTCCCAAGAAAGAGTGCTATTGCTTGTTTTCACTCGAAAATTTACCGATTCAACTCCTGCAATTAGATGCCGATTACGAACACATACACAACATCTAGCATTTTTTGAAAAATGTGTTGCTGCTATTTTAGAGGTTACGTACACCATCCACCATCAGAATCAGACTAGTTTACATTCACAGGACCACAAATGCAGCTTTCAATAACAGCAAAACACTATCTTTTAACTTTACATGTGCCTCAACTCAATCTCAGATTCTCTGTTGGCCCCCTTGAACTATTCTCTATTTTACATGGATGGAAGTTACAGAGAAGATAGAGAGAGATGTGTATGGAGCATAATTCTAAAAAAAGAAACATTGTCATGTCATAATAGGGTTTCACATGCTTGACAGATTCTTTAAAAATTACAATCAGCTGGCATTTCCATCGAGCAAACATAAAGGTCATGGGTTCTCGTCTTGTACTCTTATGTTTTGTCATGTGGCATGCAATGATCAATGTCAAGGTGAGGTTAACTTTCCAAAAAATCAATCTTTCACAACACACCATGTGCTCTTTTGTTTCCTGAAGATACAGAGAAATAACAAATATAAGACAAATCATTCCAGATGCGGAACTGTTTAGAAACACTAAAAACAAATATATGACAACTCATTGCAAGAGGGGAACTATAATCGAAAACTAAAAACGAATGTAAGATAAATCATTCCAAGAGGTTGAGGGAACTACTTACGAAACACTGACACAGCATTGACGATAAAACATATACACTAATAATAGTTTGAGAAAATGGAAGTGATTGAATGTAATACTAGTAACAATTATTAGTGTAGTACGAGTTTGGTCTCGGACATGTGCCCGAAACATGGATACGACTTCAACATGAGGAGTTGGCGTTACAAAGGTAATACCAATAAAATGGAAATTATTGCTCGACTTACCTATATTAAAATGGTCAGTGTAATCATACTTCACCAGAGAGGCAGCCAATATGATAGGCCATAGTAGTATCTGAATGCTGGTCCTTTGAAGATATGGTTGACAAAATTTTTGAAAGGGAAAACTTCCAGTAGGGCCGGTGAACTGGAGGTAACAACAAATTTGATTGATCATCCATGGCAAGTAGCTTAGAACATTTTCTGTACACCCAAAAAAAAAATGAGAACAGTAACTCTACCAAATGATATGGAAATTTATTGATCTGGAAACTGCAAATTGTACCTGCATGGTCTTGAAAATATGGTCTGGTAGCTACAAATCCAGTGCTACAGCAAAAGAAAAAACAGAAAGCAAAGAAATATTGAATATGTCAAGAATGATAACTTTTTCCAAAACAAGTGTCATGATATGCAAAAGGATAATTTCAGTACCAAAAGAGAATACAGTGATGTTTCAGCTTGGTTGCCAAGAAAATACTGCAGAGCTATTGTTGCATACTCCTTCAGTGGAAGATAAAAAAGAGCTATAATAAGAACAGTTCAAACAGCCACTTAAAGGATCACGGGAAATAAGAAGTTAGCCACAGAGATTGATACCGTAATATGTCTATACACATGATGAAGTGAAATCCCCCTTGCATGCACATAGCTTCCATTCTGTTAAAGCAGTACACTGTTAAACATAATGAAATGAGCCGGATGTACTACAAAATTATTATAATGTGGAGTAGATAGATGTAAAATTCAAGCAAATTTACAATGAAATAAGAAATGAAAAAATCAAGTCTTTTTATTAAGTTATATTATAGATAATATAAGTCATAAACACAAGGAAAGAAGATATCCCCCAGAACAAGGAGAAAGCAAAACGAAAGAATGAAAACAAATATGGAACCACCATCTAGTCTCTGCAAATCAGCAATGTAAACACTCCCTTCAGACAGCCATTAGAAGAGAACCTAAGAACTATGAAAATCACAAGATCCACAATCCTATCCCAACATAAAGCACTACCAGGGAAAAGACTTGATTAAAAATGTTACACTCTACTCTTGAGTAAAATAAAAAATGTGAGACTTGATTAAAAATGTTACACTCTACTCTTGAGTAAAATAAAAAATGTGAACATTCTACTCCGAGTAATATAATGAAGACTGGATCACATCCAAAAACTAAAAATCAGTCTTCTCATTTCTACCAAAACCTTTAAAATGCTTCAAGGTGATTGGTAAACTCAACGTCTATCTCGCTATACCAAACAAAAACCTTTTTCCAAAAAGAAGTAGCTCTAGAGCAGATCGCGGAAAACAGAGGAATGCCAGAAATTCAGTAAGAAAAATAGAAGAAATCGCAAAGCAGTTGAAATATAAATCAAGAGTTTAATGGTAGTGCACTGTCAGTGTAAAGAAGTATTACATAGACATCCAATCAGAATATTTTAAAGTGCCAAATCATACCAGTAATTTAAAATTTACAGTCTGACTTGACGGAATACATAGTTGTCATTGGTTGACAGTGTATAAATAATTTACACTGTCAGTGCACCATCCCTTTTCTCATATATAAATGTGTATAAAATAAAGCATATTGCACGCAAATAAAAGATGCATAAACATAAATTGATAAAGTAACAGACATAAATGCCTATAAATCTCATAAATCTTAATATTTCAAACAGCAAATAAAGCAAGATACACAGATGCATACATTGCGTGAAGGAGATGAAGAAACATAGTGGTCACCTTCTTCTTTTATGAAGCGGTGATTTGTGTCTTAGTTGTGTCTTTGCCTAGGTAAAGGTAGCGAGGAGATGTAAACCATCTTCTTCTTTTATGAAGAAGTGATTTGTGTCTTAGTTGTGTCTTTGCCTAGGTAAAGGTAGAGAGGAGATGTAAACCATCAAATTTAAACTGGGTAGTTGAAATGGAGGAAGACCTCAGAGATTTTACGCGACACAAAAGTACCGCTCAAGCTGAAAGAAAAACTTTATCAGACAGCAGTAAGACTTGCAAAGTTATACAGGTCAGAATGTTGAGCGGTTAAGAATCAACATGATATACAGGTCAGAATGTTGAGCGGTTAAGAATCAACATGGGAATAAAGTAAGTGTAGAAAGATGAAGATGTTGTGTTGGATGTGTGGCAAGATTAGACGAGATAAGATTAAAAATGACAATATTAAGGTGTGTTGGGGTAGCACTATAATAGAATAAATGGTGGAAAATAAACTTAGATAGTTTGGACATGACATGTAGATTTTGTTGTAAGGAGAGTAGATCAAATGAAAAGAAGTCAAACAACTAGAGGTAGAGGAAGACCTAGAAAATTATAAGAGAAACTATTAAGAAAAATCTCATTAACGAATTGAATAGGGACATGGTATTGGATAGAACATTATGGCGGAATTTGATCGATGTAGCAAACCCCGCTTAGTGGGCTAAGGCTATGTTGTTGTTGTAGTTGTAGCTATTATATTTAATACCACTAACCAACACACCACTTAATATTTTGTAGTTTTTTTTTTGTTTTTTAATGTTTTAAAAAGTATGGTCACCACCTGAGGTTTTGTAATTGATTAATGTTTTAAAAGTTTGGCCACCGCTAAAACACACAACTCCGCTATTAATTATGTATTGGTATAAACGAGAAGTACTGCAAATTGCAGAGTTGGCATATCGTATCGACTACCCAAAATTTTGATGCCTAATAGTGGTATAGCAGCACTATACAGGTATTTTAACTACACTGGCCAAGTCACTATTTATAATATCCATAAATGTGCCAACAGTCATATATTTAACACCCTATAATGATTATTATGAGAGAAACAATGATAAATATCATATTGATATGTATACCTCGTCGGGAGAAAAGAAAGCTACAGCATCAGCATTAGCAGACCCAGCAGGATGCAATGATATAACAGCTCTGAAGATAGATGGAGACAATATTTCTATCACTGCAACCTTCTCTGGATCAACTATTCCAATTGATCCTACCCTCGGTTTATTAGAACCATGGTAGTTATGTTCTTGAGAACTCTCATTAGTTGCAGAGGTGAGTGCGGAAGCTCTTTTTAACCAGTCCAGTCGTTCAAAAGTTGAAATTTTCACAGTTGGCACTTCCTTTTCCACGGACTTCAGAACATCTGGTAGCAACCTCAGAAAACTCATGTCTTCCTTAGGTTCAAATGAAACTTCTTCAGACCCACATTGTTTCTTTGAAGCTGATTCATTAGTTTCAACTTCATCATCAAGATGGGGAAAAAAGCGTTTTTTCTGATCCGTAAAAGCTTTGAGAGCTAACCTGAAATCATTCAGAATCCTAAGTAAGATAAATCATATTCATGTCTAAAAAATGAAAGCTTAATTACATAAATCTTCAAAAGGAAAGATATCGCTTGATTCCATCAATCACTACAGTTTAGTGTTGTCAACTTCCGAAAGGGGAAAATAGAAGATTGTTAAAATTCTGCTACGCAACACAATAGTGGTGCTTTGCTATGGCCATTTGTAGCACGACACCTAAGATGTGTATGTGTCAGTGTCCGAAACCGACACCGACACTTGTGATTAGGTTTAATTTATTCTTTTTTCAAATAATTACTGATGTCGATGTGTCAGGGTCGGGTCGGGATTCAGGTGCAACATGTCACTGTCTTATATCTAATATAATTAATTCATAAATAAAAGATAGCTGATTCCATTGTTTTTTATTATTTCCAATTCTTTTCCAAACATTCTTCAAAATGAAGTAACTATAAAAGGGAAAACTGTAAGCTAACAAAGATTCACAAATCCAAAAGAGCCAAATTGAACCTTGTCCTATCAACTGCAGAAGCACCAGCCTGACCGGCGAGTTGCCGTTTCCACGCATAAGCTACAACTGCACCGTCCGGGCAAACCAGCGGCATATGAAGCCCCCAAAAATCCTTCCGCGTTCGAGCCGATTCACTGACAACTCCAGCTTCTTCAAGCTCCTTTCCTAGCAAATCAAAAAACAAAGAAAATACTAAAACCCTAACCACAAATCAAAATTCAATCAAAACCTATAAAAACCAGAATTCCATACCAAGTGATCGAAGCTCTTGAAAATGCTGTTGCATGCAAGCATTCTCCTTGAGGAGAACTTGCAACGGCTTACTGCCTTGGTGAGTCTGACCGGCGGAAATGAAAAGAGCTTCAAGGAGGCGATCGGCGCCGATTCTGATGTCGGCGATGATTCTTTCGGCTTGTCCGAGTTGGTCCATTGCTACAGCAACTTGCTTCGGCGGTGCCTCGGCCGTGGGGCCACCGGGGAAAGAGGGAGGAGGAGTGGGGGTTGGAATAGTTGCCGCGGTGGCTTGCTGAGTTTGTTGCATTTGCATTGTTTTTTTGGTGCTTGAGATGCTAACAAAGTTAATGGGTTCTAACTCGGTTAGTATTTCGTACAACTCGGATTGGGCCTCCGTTCAATAGTATAGGCCCATCAAATAATACAACCTTAACCCACTAATTAACCCACACATATCAATAATCAACTATAATTTAAAAAATATTTTATTAAATATTATGTTAATATGCATATATTTTAGTGCGATGGATAAATGGTGTTGAAGAAATTTGTTTTTTTT